CGCTCTCTTTCCTTCCTTTCTGCTTCCCTCGCCCTATTCCTCTCATAATTGCTATCACTCGTTGACATCGTCCATTCCAGGGAGCGCTGAAGCTGGGCAAATGCAAATGCTGCGTTGCAGGTAGGAAGCGTTCCCTTCTCTTCAACCTCTACTCCTCCTCCTCCTCCTCCTCCTCCTCCTCCTCCTCCTCCTCTCTCCTATTTGTCCTGCTCCTCTCTTCTGCTCCTCCTGCTCCTTCTGCTCCTCCTCATGTCGAGGCTCCTTACACTCCATGTTCAAGACCTTCCCGCCTTCGTGATGTTGGGGATGCGCGACCGACCAGCGATGGTCCTGGGACTTGACGTCCTGGGTGAGGGAAAATTCAACATGTTGGCTCGACGGTGACACGAAAATTTCTGGCAGGAGGGTCAAGGGGAAGGTTCGGTTTTTCCGCTTCTGGCAAGAGAGCATGGATATCACCGATGGAATGAAAGTTGCATCACTCTCTTCTCTCTCTCTCTTCTCTCCTCGCACTCAGCAACACCGCGCAATGCCGTCATGCTGGCGTCTGCTTGATTGGTGGTCCATGTTGGGCTTCTTCAGCTTCCTATGAGAGCGAAAGACATTATGGAGGGTCTTGTTAGATCGGGAGCAATCTCTGGATTTCTTCTCATGGCCATAACTTAGCTCCGTCTTCACATCAGGGTTGGCATGCACAAAGGAACAAGAGTCAAATATAGAGGGGCAGGAAAGCGATACAGCAGGTCGAGTTCAGTTGATGTTATTATTCACAAAGTTCTAACTGTGGAAAAAAAACGAGACCTACAAGCCAAGAGTCTTGGCGATCGGTTCCCCCAGACTAAATCCTGAAAGATGCAACATATCAGACGCAGTCAGGAGGTGGAAGGGAAGGAGGATGAAGGGGAAGGGAGGTGGAAGAGGAAGGTAGCGGAGGAAGAGAAAAGATAGAGTTGCTGTCGTTGCTCAAAGACGAGCTCTGAAGGGAGGACACTCACCGACGAACATGGCTGCATTGAAGATGATGCTTGCCGCCTGAGGGTTGCTCACGTTGACCAGAGCTGGGCCAGGACACATCCCAGCTGCAAGGGCATCTCCGTCAGCTGCTGGGGAGAAGCCGAGAAAGGAGCTCACCATATCCCCAGCCGAAACCAAAGATGACGCCTCCGAGTATGAGACGAGTGTCGAGGTTCACCCGGGTGGGCAGCTCGAACTTAAGGGAGAGGACAGGCTTCTTGAGAGTGCCGTTCTTGATAAAACCCAGCATGAAGGGAGCGGTGACAAGGATGGCTCCTCCCTGTCGTAACGCAGGGTGAGAAGAGGCTCCTGCTCAATGCAAACAGGCATACCATGACGAACATGAGGGTTGGATTCCACGTTCCCTGCGATACATCCAAGAAAGAGACAACCTGAAGAACGCGATCAGGAGGAGGAGGAGGAGGAGGAGGAGCATCAGCAGCTTACGTTGGCTGGGTTCGTCATTCCGCTGATGCCTGTACAGCATCTTTGTCAAGACACCAACAGTCAAGGCAGATGGTCCTCACCAAGTCCAAAAGCAAATAGACTCCCGTCCACGAAACTCACGAACTCACGGAGCAGCTCCTGAATGGGGCGGTCAACCCCCAGCAGCAAGGAATCTTTCTCAGCTCCCACCTTCTCAATGCCCATGGCCTGACCCAGGCTGACCACCATGGCGTACAGGGATCCGTGAAGGATCAGGACGATGAAAGCAAGCTGCCACGTCGAGGGCAGGTCAACCTACAGGGACCTCCGTCACGAGACGAGCCGCACGCCGACCATGCAACGTCACCGGAGCTGGAAAGTGAGCCTTGACAGCAGCGGTGCTGTGGAAGATGGAGGCGGTGGCAAATCCTGGCAGGAATCACATCAGATAAAGCTCCGGCATGCAAACAAGCACTGACCGGCCGCCATGAACGTGAGAGTGTAGGCAAGAGAGCGAGGAGAGAGACGAGAGTTCCCACAAATGCCATGTCTGTCCGCCAATGTTACCATGCACCAAGGCATTCAACGTCCTCTGAGGGGCTTACCCCGATGTGCACCCGTTGCCCATAGTAGAGCCGATGCCAACCTGGACTTGGAGATCAGTTCAACGATCCGAACAAGGCCGAACAAGCAAGTTTGCTTCCTCACCGCCAAACCCGCAATGATCAGTCTCAACTCTGATACTTGCATGCTCCCAAGAGCCGACGGGTAAACTGATTTCAAGATAACTCCACCTGTGCCCCAGGTGAGGCTATGACTAAAAAAGAACTCTTCCTCTCTCCGTACCAACAAGAAGGCCGAGCAAGAAAGCCCATCTGCTCAATTCTGATGATTTTCCTTTAACGATCCCCCCAACTATTCCTGACACCCCCAAAACATCCCCCTACACAAGGGATCTTTCAAACGGGAACATAGAAACAAGATATCGAAACTCACCCGAAGATACATTCTTACTGCCGCCGCTATCCCAAGCAAGAGCCCTCCAGTCAGAGCATAAGCCGGTTGAAAGTTATAGATCTTCAGCCCCAGAAATTCGCTTGATGCTGTTCGCAACGCATGAGAAAGTCGGAGGATGTTGACACGGTACAGCCACACAACAAACAAGTTTCATTCCCAACCCCATGTGCAGATAAGACAGAGCAAGAGTTCATAAAATTTCAAAATGAATCACCTGTGCTTCCTGATGCATAAGAAGCACCAGAAACAACAGTCAAAAGGTATGCAAAGGAAGTCAAGAAGATGACTTTTGACAGACCAAAGGTCCCCGTCAATGCCGATGCATTGAGACTAGAAACGTTTTGCGAGAAATCCAATCCTAGCATAGTTTGCTTCCCCAGACAAGTGTATACGATTGTTCGAAACCACAACAGACGCCTTTATAAAATCTGCATCAAGATGGGGAGTAAGAATCAAGAAGAAACCGCGCGGACGGTTACAGACAGAATAAGTTCTCCATCACATTCACACAGAAGTGGTCTAAAAAGCAATTCTCTCACACACAAATCCCTCCATCAGCCTGACAGCCTCGAATAATACACTCAGTCTCTACCCTCCAACCTCACTCCAAACCTCGTTCCTTCAGCACAACATAAGGATCCACTCCTCTCCGGCGCATCAGCAGTATTATCTCAGCATACTTTTCATTGTCTATCAAGGGTAATCCCAACGTCCATCTCTTCTCTCGCCATCTTCCATCTCTCCTCGTCATCATCTCTTCTCCCTCCTTCCTTGCCCATTCCTATCCTGCACCGCTCCTTCTCCTGCTCTGCTCTCTTCTTCTCTCATCTTCCCCCAGAAATTTTCCTTGTGTAGGGGGAAAAGGGGGAGTGGAGCCGGTGAAAACATGACAGTCTTAGGGGTGGGTACTGAAACGGTCTATGGGTGGGGTGATAGTTAGAAGGCATTTCCTGACACTACCCCTACATTTATTGGATTTCATGGGGTAGGGGTAGACAATGGGCCAAGAGAGTATGTAAAAGACGGGGGGGATGGGGTATTCAAAACCACCCCTACCCAACTTTCACCCTGAAGTACCCACCACTTGTGGATTCTCGTCTCTACACCCCCTTTCACCATAGTCATCTCTCACCCCAGGTGGGTTGTGACTTGCGGGCCACCCGTGCTGCTGACATGTATGCTGTCAAGTACCCACCCAGGAAAGCATGAATTTTACATCATAGATATGGTGGGTATATTGACCCACCCCTATATTTTCCTGCATGACCCCTTCATTTGCACGCTCGTGCTATCATGACCAGTCAGCAACTATGATTATCGTGGGATGGTACCAGGGGGTGGATACGTTACCGAGGAGTACCCCCCCTTTTCTGATTCAGTTGTGTAATGACCTAGGAGTGGGGGTATATAAACACAGGGGGTACCATTTTTCACTGAATTGTCCGAAGCACGGGAGCCCGCCCGGGGCCCGCCCGGGGCCCGGCCACAGGCTGCCAGCCCGGGCCGCGGGCGGAGGCCGGAGCCTTGTAGTACTACGGTACGCCCGGGGCCGGCGGCCGCCGCGCGGTACGGTCACTGCCGCGTCCGAGTCATACGGGCAGTCACGGTCGGTGAGGCCCAGCCTAGCCAGGCTAGTAGGTCAGGCCGCTCCGAGCGACCAGGCCCCGCCCGGGCCGGGCCCGGGCCCCGGCCCGGGGGAGCCTGAACTTCAAGCGGCTTAACGCTCCCGGGCCCGGGCCCGGGGCTACCGTACTGTTCAACGGTTATCATCACGCGGCCGCCGCACTGCACCGGGGCCCGGGCCGACAGTCTAGCCCGGCCTGAGCCGCTACTGCGGCCCGGCCGGGGGCCCTCAGTGACTCAGTGACTATACGCCGGTCGGACGGTCACGGTCCGTACGTCAGGCCTCAGTTCTTTACTCAAAGTTAAGTTAAAGATCAGTACTACGGTACGGTACTACGGTGACGGTGCAGTATGCCAGGGCCGCCCGCGGTGCGTCCGATCACCGGGCCCAGTAGTATTCCGCCGGGCGCGACTGAGCCGCCGCGCGGCACTGAGTGCCCGGGGCCGGCGGCGGGCGCCCGGCCCGACCGCCGGCTGGCTGGCCGGCTGGCGAGTAGCAGATAGGCGGGGGAATGTAAGGGAGGAAGGACCCGGTGGTTGTGAGAGCAAAGTTAGGAGATACAAGGGGGTACTCAGATACAAACAGGGCACGCCATGGCGGGTGTGGAGGTTCTGTGTGAAGCCGAGCGCTATGGCGGAAAGAGGGTGAGCTCGGTGGTGGTACCTCCATCCTCCCTCTCCCCTCCTCATGTCCTCTCCCAGTTCCTCCAAGACGCCCTCGGCCTTCCCGGTCGGCCGTTGCTGGCACTTGCATCCCTATCAGGAGAGCCCCTCTCGGATCAGGAGGTGCAGACGTCAGTACCCTCGTGCGCGCTGCTGCTCATCGATGGGAGCGTAGCAGAATTTAGTGTAGAGAGGAAGAGATCGAATGTGCCTGTGAAAGGATTCTTGGATGATCTCGCTACATGCCAGTATACCATCCTGTTGGCCATGTGCGAGCTGATAGACAACAGCGTGCAATCCACCAAGGGCAACAGTTCGAGCGAAGGCAGGACGATAGATATCGACATTGACGAGATTGATTCCAAGACGTTCACAATATTCGACAACGGGATGGGTTTTACACTGGGTGACTCGGCAGACTTTGCTACAATAGGAAAGAAGGGGAGGATGAACAGTGTGGGGGAGGAGGTCGAACCTGGGACCCAGAAGGTCACATCCTATAGGTCATACTTCACCTCCAACATCTCAAGGTTCGCCTTCATTGACGATCGACATGCAGCTCCTAACCTCTGATGCTCGGCAGGTACGGGGTCGGTCTGAAGATGGCGCTACACTTGCTGGGAGCCAAGTACTCCTTGAAGTCGAAGCAGAAGGCGAGCAAGGTTGTGCTCAGGTGCAGCTTTGACAAGATCGGAGACGATTATGAGTACATCGAAGAGTACGAGCCTTGCGATCCTTCAGAGCAGTCTAGGAGCTACAGCCTGATCCAGGTCCAGTTCTTCCGGGAGGGGTTGGCCGCCGCCTGCCAGGCGAATCACCATGACGAGTGGCCCACGATTCTTGCGAGGAATCTGAGGAGCATCTACTACTGTTATCTTGACATACCAAACATGCTGCATGAAGAAGGTAACGATCAACCTCACAACGTCTCTGTCTGAGGTCTCTTGTTCCTCGGCAGGAGATGACAGAGGGAAGAAGGAACGTGGAACCGGTAACTTAGGTTCAGTCAAGATCGCCAAGATGATTCATCAAAGGCTTGAGAGTAGCACATTCAACAAGAAGAATGGGCAGAAACGGAAGAGCTCGAATGGGAAACTGACTTATCTTGAACTTGCCTCCGAGAATCTTCGGCAGCAACTGGGGCACTACCTGTCGGCGAGCAAGAAAGCCAAGAACGAGATCGTCGGTGTGGACTTGAACTTCTCTGTGAGAATTTCCTTTATGCCCAATCACTTTGAGGAGGTGATGATGGTTTTGCAGGTCAAGAGCTACCAGAAATGCATGATCTCACAAGAACCTTGCTTCTGGGACGAGGTAATCCTGGCATGGACCGAATCTTGAACGATTGCTCGTCTCAGACACATGAACACATTTGCACATTTTCGTGTAAATGTCTCTTTGAGCATGCAACAGGTGTTTGGTCCGGGTGCTCAAGATTGCTTCCCCATCTGGTTTGAAGTTGAAACTTGCGGGGCTGGAAGATCGATTGTTATGGGAGCGATCTTCTACTATGGAGTGAAGGAAGACTCCACTGGAGAGAATGTTCCGAGGTTGACGAATTGTTGTGTTGCTAATGTTGAAACTTGTAGGAGCATGGAAAAGTTTGACTTGTATGAGATGATACGTAGCTGATGATACAGTGATTCCATGTAGAATTTGGTGTGGAAAACTAGATGTTCGCTGTGATTGATCGATATACTCGAACAGGAGAGATTTTCGAGTGGACATGGCACGCAACAGCGTTGAAGCAGACTTTCGTTTTGCTACTTTGTGGATGGGAAGATGGCTTCCTAACGAAAACTTCATACCTCCGTTCATGATCTTCGACAATCATCGCTGTTCAAAAGCTCCGTCCCGTTGTTACAAGAGGGCATTTGGCTTCATGTCACTTGATGTGCAATGTTGATGTGAGTGTGAGTGTGTTGCAGGTTGTTAGACCGTGCGTTCAAACCGCAACAAAACAAGCAAGCCATCGAGCCGAACGGAGATGTATGGTTGAACCTAAGAAGGGCCATGGGGGATGAAAGAATGTTCTCCCTGTACGACGACTGGCTGTTAGAGTGCCACAAGAAGTTTGATTACGAGGTGTTGCCCCTTTGCGCAGTATTCTGTTGGATGAATAAGTTTTGTGCGATCTGTTCGTCGTGTTTGGCTTGTTTCTTGTTCCACCTGACGTGTGAGATGTGATCGAATCTCTGCAGGTTGTGTTTGACTCAGAAGATGCGGTCATCGTGTACGACGAGCAAAGAGAGCAATCCTGCCACAAGTCGATCTTGCTGGCAGGAGTCAGAATCAAGGTGCGCGATCAAGACGCGGAGGGGGAGCGAGAGCCGTCGAACTCTAACATCCGCTCGCTCTGCAGGCAGGTGACAAGGTTCAGTATGCGAGGAAGGGAAAGGATATCTCGAATGGACCGCTGGGAGAGATAGTGGAGTTTTGGCAGGACGGGCATTTCAAGCTGCAAGGGAAGGAGGGGAGCGTCATGATCCGTGAGATGGAGCAGGGAGAGTGCTTGTCCGATCCACAGGAGCTCCGTCTGAACCAGATTAGCATCAAGAAGGTCACTATGACTCGATGGAAGGAGGAGCTGACGAGGATGAGGAGGAGTGTGATCTGCGACATCGTGTGGGAGAACCGGGAGGAGGAGGTGGAAGCAGGAAAGCTCATGAAGGATATCTCTATCCTCTGCCTGAATTCCGAAGGAAAGCCTGTCTCTGTGAGCAGGAGCGGCAGGGGCGTCAAGGTTTCCCTCCTCGTGCAGTCTTCACACGGCCGGTCGTGGAGGTTTGATGCTGAGACCAAGGATGGGGATGGGAGGACGGAGGGGTCGAGGAGGTTTATCTTCGGCCCCTTGGTCGAAGGGGAGGAGAGCATCCTGCAGCGAGCAGGAAAGTTTGACTTCACCTTCTTCCTCCTGAGGGCGAGGAGCAAGGCTGAAGAGACGCTGGAGGAGGTGACCAGCTGTCGGAACGAGGTGGAGGTGAGGGCTGGAGGCATCAGGTCCATGAGGCTGGTGGAGGAGGAGGTGGAAGGCTCTCGCGTGCAGAGGGGACGTCAAGTCCCAGATTTCTCCTTCCTCCTCCTCGATGGATACGGGAACGAGGTACAGGACGCCGCTGCCGAGGGCTGTACCTTCGAGCATGAGCTGCGAGGACCAGAAGAGGACGTACGGTCTTGTGACCGGTGCCGCATCCTCTTCGAAGGAGGAAGGCTCGTCGTTGGCAACCTCGTCCTCCACGACAGGGCGTTGGGGAAGTGGAAGCTGGTGGTGCGGGTGGTGGAGGGAGGGAGGAGGCAGGCGGAGAGCTGCGTGACCCTTGAGCTGATCCATGGGGACCCTCAGGTGATCGAGTTCATCCCCAACCGGCTGGGTGCGAGCTTGCAATCTTATCAGATGAGGGGGACGCGGGAGGAGAGCACGTGGATGGTGTCGCTGCTCGACGACGCGGGCAACATTTGCTCAACGTCGCAGGGGAGTGTCGTGCTCGTCAGCTCCTGCCTCGTGAAGCCGGTCAGAGCGCAGGCTGTCAACGGGCATGCGATCTTCAGTGAGCTGGAGCTGGAGCTGCTTCGAAATCCTCTCTTCTCTGGGGGCGACGGAGGAGCGTCCTCGCAGCAGAGCTCAAAACAGGCGCACAAGAAGAAGAACTCCAAGAAGAATCCCAAGAAGGACGCCGAGCTCAGCTTGACCTGCTTCCCTGGCCTTGGACTCCTGCTGGGAGGTGAGTGTTTGCTGAAGTTGCGTGTTAGTCTGTTGCTGAGAAGGTGGCAGATGGGAGAGATTTCTTCTGTGACAACGACATGATCTACTGCAAGACTCCGAGCTCTAACTCGTTCAAGCTTGCCAGACTGTTGGCAACTCGGCAAGACAAGGGAACCCCCTGCATCAACATCTGCGCGATGGGAGAAGAGGGCGACAGGATGGTGGAGAACAGCGTGGGCGAAGTCTTGGTTCAGTCGAGGGCTTTCCTCCTCAACAAGAAGTTGCAGGACTCGCTGCCCAGAGACTTCCTGTCTCCGAGCGTCTTCTTCACCTCGGATGAAACCGTCGAGAGCTACCCCAGCATCCCTCTCAACGTCTTCTTCCTCCAGCAAGTCGACCCTGCAGCCGAGGCTCGCACTCTGTCACCGGATGCTGTCAAACTTTTCACGAGGGTCTCACTGAAGATCCTCAACAGCCTCTCTCCTCAGTCCGTCAGGATCGTCAACGGTGACAAGCTCGTCGCCCTCTCTGATGACGTCGTGCTGCTCGTCAAGCCTGGGCAGCAGCTGGACAAGCTGAAGCTGCAGCTGGTGGACGAGGCCGGGGTGTTGTGTGAGCGGCTCCCTGCAAGCAAGGAGGAGGAGGCTCTGCTCGTGGTGGCATGCAGCTGGGGTTCGGATGTCACCGTTAAGCACGAAGAGTACAAGGGCGAGGTCGACCTGCCATGCCTGCAAGCGCCAAGCTCCGAGCACGAGAGCGTCTTCCACGTCCGATGCTCGCTGGAAGACCGGGAGTTGACAGCTTCCTTCAAGGTGGTGGTCGAGACGGGGGCCCCAGCCCAGCTGAGGGTGCAGCTGGAGGATGAGGCGGTGAGGGTGGGAAGGGACTGCTCGCTAAAGTTGACGGTCCTGGATGAGAGAGGAGCGAAGGTGGTGGGGTCAGACGACCAGCAGGTCACCCTCGACAAGTTCAACGTGTACGTGACGGACGAGAGCGGGAGGAGCTACCCTGTGCTAGTCAGGAAGGAAAACTATGCTCAGGGCTCGCAGATCTACACTCAGTTCAAGGAGATGGAGGCCGAGCAGGACGAGGACGGGAGCTTCTGGCTGCGGTGCATTCGGCTGAGGGGCAGGGCAGGGAGGGTCGACGTGCATGTCGAGGCAGTGGTGGAGCTAGAGGATGGAGAGGACTGCAAGCTCTTCAGCGTCAGGGGAGCCTGCGAGGCCCAGCTCGGGGCGGGCAAGGCAGAGCAGTACATGCTGCAAGGCTCGAGCTGCGTCAGGAGGGTGTCATCCCAGCTGGTCGGGACTCAGCTGACTCAGCTGGAGGGGGCAGTGATGAGGGGGAAAGCCTTCTGTGCTCTAGAGCCTCTTATCCTGGAGGTCGTCGACGAGAGCCACAACGTGGTGGCAGAGCACAAGAGCAAGGTTCTGCTCGACTTCAGCTCGTCCTCTCTCAGCCGATTCTCAGTGGTGAGCTCCAAGAAACCCTCGGGCCTGTCGAACGACGCTGTCCTGCTGTTCGAGAGGCTCCCTTGCAACAGCTACCAGATCGTCGGACTCACCTTCCTCGAGAAGGGCTCTCACTCCGCTGTGATCCGCTCCTCTGGCCTCCCCGACCTCCCCCTCCGTTTCGACGTGGAGCCCGCAAACATCGTGCGGGAGCTCAGCCTCTCGTTTCCCAGCTCGCCGTTGGGGGTCGGCGAGACGGCGCGAGGGCGCCTAGAGCTCATGACGGAGGACGAGGAGGAGCTTGACTTGGACCTTTCGCACGCGATCTCCATCCTCTCCTCGGGGGGCCAGGAGCTCCCAGCTCGGGTGGTCAGCCGTGACGGACAAGCAGTGGAGGTGGAGGTGGAGATGCCGACGCAGGCAGGGGCCTGCATGCTGTACGCCGTCTACACGGAAGTTCGAGACTCTCTGCAGCCAAGGCCGGCAGATGTCGAGTCCTCTCGGGTACGAGTAGAGCTCCTGCCCTCCTCCTTCTCGCGGCTTCAGTTCATGGAGGAGGAGGAGCAGAACTCGAGCGTGAAGGCTGCGGAGGACGGCGGCCTCGTCCTGCCCGACCTTTGCGTCTGCGCTACGGACTCCTTCGGGAACCCTTGCAGGCTGGGAGAGAAAGTCTTGAAAGTAGCAGTGAAGCTGAAGAGCAGAGACGGGCTGGTGCTGGAGGGGGCGGGGCAGCTTGAGATATCCGAGCGTCAAAACCCTGTGAGGGTGAGGAACTTGCGTGTAGTCCCGAAGGTGCCCCGGGAGATAGACTTCTGCGAGTTCAACCTTTGCTTCAGCGTGAAGAGAGACAGGAAGCGAGAGAGGGCGAGCCGCGGCGAGGAGGAGGAGGGGGAGATCGCTCAGATTGTGAAGACTTTCACCTACAGTAACGACATCTCCATAGTCGAGAAGATCGAGGAGTGTGAGAGAAGGGAGCAGCTGCTCAAGTCCCGGCAGGCGGCCCTCCACAAGAGCATCCAGGAGGGACAGGCGAGGATCGCTGCGCGACGTTCGAAGTTCGCAGAGGAGGAGGAGGAGGAGGACGTGGACGTGAGCGAGAAGCTGACGAGCTCGCGGCAGAAGCTCAAGGGCCTGCTGGAGGACTGGGCAGGGGCCGAGCGCTCGTCCGCCGCTTTGCCCTCCATGCACGACGTCAACGTGGAGGAGCTGGAGGGGGTGGTCGGGGTGGCCGCGGACCTGGGTGTCATCGACAGGCTGCAGGGGGTCAGCTCGGAGCAGGTGAGCAGGTGCCTGACTGCAGCATTCAAGGGCCTGCTGTGTGCTGTGCTGTTCCGGAGGGAGGAGGATCTCAACGCCTTCGACGCCCTCCCGCTGGAGGTGAAGGCGCGGGCCAAGGTCAGGAGGGTCTACTGCAGCACGAGGATGATGGACCCCCCACGGCCGAAGCGTCCTTCCTCCCCGGGCTTCGTCGCCTTCGCCTCCGACATGGTCCAGGTCAGCCCGAGCGTGAGGGAGGAGGACAGGGGCTGCGCTCGCGTGTTCCTCAACACCATCCTGGCAAACCTCCTGGTCTTCGAGAGCTACGAGCACGCTGTCAAGTACTCCACCGCCATGATGCTCCAGAGGAAGCGAGCTGGGCGGCTGGTTGGCCTCGACCGCCCCAACGACGTCATCGACTCGGACGGAGGGAGAAACGTCAACTTCGGAGGGGAGGAGCTGAGAATTTGCTTCGGGATCCTCCCGCTCCGACCCTCCACCTTGGGGAAGGAGCTGCTGCGAGCCATCGACGAGGGTCGGGCGGTAGTCAAGAAGCTGGAGGAGGTGGTCGACAGCGATCGGGAAGACAAGCAGTCGATCGAGTGAGAATCGCTCTAGCAACTTCTCTTCCCTGCTTTCCTTCCTCCTCATTCTTCCACCTACACCGCTCCCTCCTTGCGCTGCTTCTAAGATCTCGTCCTCTCCTCTTCCTCCATCCTGTCCTCCTAATCCAACCCGTCTTGTACAACACCTTTCCCTAGTGTGTGATCTGCTCCTTGCTATTCTCTTTCCTCTTGTTCTTTCCCGTCCTCTCGTGACTTTCCGTCAGGGCTGACAGGCAGAAGCTGCGGGAGGTGGACGAGGAGCTGGAGCACAACAGGACAAGCCTCGCCCAGCTCAGCAGCCTCGGGAAGCCCAGGGACGAGGACGTTAGCTGAAGTCCAAACTGCAATAGACTTGTAAATATTGTTACAAAACACGCTGAGCCCCCGCAAACTGCTCAAGCCGAGGAGGCCCTCAGCTGCGGCTCCTTCGCAGGTCGCCTGGCGACCTTGTTGAGCTGCTTGCGGAAGGCCTCGGGGTCGAGGATGAGGCGCGAACCTGACCAGCTCCCTGTCAGCTTCCCCCCAGCTCGATCCTCTGCTCCTCCTCCCTTACCGTCCTTGGGCTCCTTGGCGAGCAGCTGCTGGGTGTTGGGGAGCTGCTGGGAGTAGACCTCGCAAGTGATGGCCCTGCGTTGTTCCCCTCCTGTCTTGACCACGGAGGCCCACACCTGCTGGAGGAGGCGCTTGTCCACGAGCCGAAGAGCCTCCACCTCCTCCTTGTAGCGATCGAAGTTGTACTGGCTGGTAGCGATCTCGTCCCAGTGGCCCAGCACCTCGTCCGCGAGCTTCTTGTCCGTCTCCTGCTTCCTCTCGATCAGGCTCGTGACGAACTTTGACACCTGGTCCTCCCCCAGCTGCTCCAGCTGCTTGTCAAACGAGTCAACGAAGCTGAAGATCCTGCTGGCGATCTCGTTGGCGTCCACCACGCTGGACTGGGTGGTGAAGATGAGAAACCTTGAGCCGTCTCTCTTCGCTATCCCCGCGTACACGATATACCCCAGCTGCTGATTTGTTCTCAGCTCCGAGTAGAAGGGCTGCTGGACGATGCTAGCCAGAACCTGCAAGCCGAAGTAAGTGGACGGAGGAGGGAGGAGGGAGGGAGGATAGGGAGGAGAGGGAGGAGAGGGAGGAGTGGGAGGGAGGGAGGGAGGGAGGGAGGGAGGGAGGGATGGCAGGGTGGGAGGAGGAAGTTGTGCAGGCAGGAAGCAGGAAGTATCGAGAGAGGGAGGTGGGGAGGAGGGGGGGGGAGGAGGGCAGTAGAGCTCAGACGCCTTCACCTCCATGGCCATCTGCTCCTTGAGGTCGGGGTTGACGTTCTGGAACTGCACGACGACGGCCGAGTTGGGGTTGTCCGGGTTCAGCTCCTTCCTCCTCAGCAAGTTTCCTCGTCCCTCCCTCACGATCGGGAGCTCAAGGAGGCGAGGGAGGGACCTCTGCTCCTCTGGCACCTCCTTGAAGGAGAAAATCTCTCGCATCCTCCCTGCCACCGCACGCGCCTCCTCCTCCCTCACGTTCCCTTGGATCAGCAACTGGCTGTAACCCTGCTCCCAGAGTCTCTTCGTCCACTCCTTGAGCTCCTTGAGCGAGATGCCGTCAAGCTCTCGCTCGACGTCCGTTGGGAGGTAAGCCGGCAGCTCCAGGCAGAGGCGGGAGAACTCGGCGGCGTGCTGGTAGGGCTGCTGGGTGGTGAAGGCGCGAAGATCGCGGGAGATGAGGTCCTTGTAGCGTGCGAGCTTGTCCTCGCCCTCGGGCACGTGAGTCTTGATCCTTTCAGCAACCGAGAGGAGGAAGTCGGCGAGCTTGTCGTTGTAGCCCCCGAAGTTCAGCCGGACTCCACGCTGCGTGAAGTCGCAAGAGTACTGCAGCCCAGCCACCGCAGCATCGTAGCTAAACTCCGTAAGAGCGTCTGCCAGGGAAGCGGTGAGCAGCTTCGTGAGCGCTGAAGTTCGCGGGGTGGTCCCGGTGCCCAGCAGGGAGTCGAACTGGGAGATGAGCACGTAGGCGACGGCCTTGGGCTTGCCGTACCTCCTGTCCTGCTTGAAGAAGAGCCTCCAGGTGCTGTCGTCGACGAGGAGGGAAGGGGGTATGGCAGGCTTTGCCAGGTCCTCTACGATGGAACCCTTGATGTCGAAGTTGGAGGGGATGAACGGGTTTGGCTGCGGCACCGAGACGCCAGCAAGGGGAAGGCGACCCCAGCGGCTCTTGTCCGCCTCCTCGGTGTAGTAGCTCGTGCCATACCAGCGCTCGCGCATCTTCGCGTCCTTGGCGAACTCCTGAAGGAGAAAGTGAGGCAAGGAAAAGGAAGGCAGGGAAGCAAAATGAAAGCACAGTGATTGAGGTTGATGAGGTTGGAAGGATGGCAGAATGAGCAGGAGAACGAGAAAGAGGAGGACAAGGACCTGGACGAGGAGGAAAGAGGAGGAGGAGGAGGAGGAGGAGGAGGAGGAGGGCGGGACGAGTACGAACCTTCGATGCGTACGTCAGCATGGCAGACTGCGGAGTAAGCGCAGAGAGCAGCTCCTGGGCCAGGTCGAGCTGGAGGTCACGGGCGAGGGCAGGGCCGGAGAGGTAGAGACGGGGGTCCTTGAAGGCCTGCATGGAGCTGACAACCCCGACGAACCGGTCCGGTTCCTCCGTCTCCTTGAAGCGCCAGAAGACCTGAGACAAATCCTCTACCTCCCTGAGGACGTAGGAGGGAATACCCTCCCTCCTGACCAGGTCGAGGTAGCTGAAGATGGAGGCTACAACCTCGTCCCTCCTCTTGAACCCCTCGATGGTCAGCTCCACGCTCACCACGAAGGACTGGAAGTCCGCCACGCTGTCGGCGACTCCTGCGAAGATGGAGGAGACGAGGCCCTTCTCCGTCTTGAGGTAGGAGAGGAGCGAGTTCTTCCCCTCGTAGCCCAGGATCGAGCCGATCACTCGGTCGGGCTTCGACTTCATCCTCCGCTCCTTATCCTCCTTGGACTTGTAGGGGATCTGCCAGGTGAGCAGGAGCGACCTGCGGGAGGAGGAGGAGAGTGAGTTTGAGTTGATAACAGCACCTGCTAAGTAGTACAGAGACAGGCACAGAAACGGTATCAACAATATCAAGGCTGACAGCATTTTCTCTCCAACTCACTTTGTACCCCGCGGGTTCACAAAACTGTACACAGCATGAAACAAACAGGACAAGGTAAGAATCACACTCCTCCTCCTCCTCCGCCTCCTCCTCCTCCTCTTCCTCTTCCTCCTCCTCCGCTCACCTCTCATCCTGTATTGGGACAACATTGTAGACAACATTGCTCGCCTCCCTGCTATACGGCAGGATCTTCCCTGCCCAGCTCTCCTCCGGGGGCTTGACGTCCTTGTTGGGGATCGGAGAGAACAGCTCCTCCACCCACGACTGCAGCGTGTTCAGGTCCTCCCTCCCGATCACCGCCAGGCTCATCATGTTTGCCGAGTAGTACTTGTCGTAGAACTTGAGCAGCTCCTCCCTCACGTCCCTGCCCGACTTCTTCAGGTTCACCTCCAGCGTCTCCTTGTTTCCAGTGCCGAACTTGGCGACGGGATGCGCCGGGTTTGCTCTGACCTTCTCGAGCTGGTTGAACCTCCAGCTGTCGGTCTGCAGATTCTTGGAGTTCTCGCTGTCCACCGCGTTGATCTCCCGCGACACTGCGGTCGCCGTGAACAGAGGGGACACGAAGAACTGGGAGAAGCGCTCGAGGGCAGGTCGGAAGCCGGCGCTGTTGAGGTTGAAGAAGTAGCACGTGTCCTCATCCGACGTGTACGCGTTGGAGGAGCCCGAGTAGGAAGACAGGAAGTTTTCGAGCTCGCCCTCCTGCGGAAACTTCTTGTTCCCGAGGAAAAGCATGTGCTCACAGAAATGCGCCAGCCCAGGCACGTAGTCAGGGTCCGAGAAGTGACCCACGTGCACGTTTAGCGCTGCTGCCGACGTCTCCACCTTCGGATCGGACGCGATCAGCACTCGCAGGCCGTTAGCGAGCACCAGCGACCGATAGCTTCTCTTGTCCGCAGGAGACGTCTCTACCGTCCCCTCAGGGTCCACCATGATCCTCCCAGGAGCCTTGTAGTCCTTGTCCAGGCCGAGGTCATACATCACCTCCTCCCTCACCACAGCATCCTCTGCATGCGCCGCCGGGGCAACGAGACTCGAGAGGTCCTTGAGTACGACGCCAGAAGCAGCTGCCGCCGCACTTGCGCTGATGAAGCCTCGTCGGGACATCAGAAGCTTCACTGCCAGCGAGACTTGGGCGTCACCCCCCGTCTCTCTCCTCCCCTTGTCCTCCACCATTGCCAGCGGCACAGCCCTCCGAGCTCGCAGCCGAGGGCTCGCACACACAGCACGCCCACATGCCAGCAGCCTCCCCCTGCCGCTAACGGCTGAGCCCAGGTGGTTGGCCGTCTGGAAGCCGTGAGAAGCGTTGTTGGAAAAGAGCAGAACGAGGAGAAGATGCCACAGAGGGAGCAGGCTCCTCATGGCATGAACACTCCTCATCAAGCCAGGAGCTTCCATCGTGAAGAGTCTCTCCTGTGTATGAGAGTCAGCAATGTAGCGAGAGGACGGCAGCAAATTCAGCATCAGAGAAGCTCATAGCGGGGAAAATATCTCTCTTCATGTTCATCCGCATCGTCTTCTTCTTGATTTCTACAACAATTCATCATCTTGGCTCTTTCAAACTTCCACTAAGATGATTGATTTACTCCTCCATCTGTGAAAAGCTTGATACCGCATCATCCCTCCCTTCGAATGGTCTCCTCACAAACTGTCCCTACTTCACCTCTCCTGCTCTGCTCCTCGTTTCAATCCCTCTTACCCTCTCGTAATTGTCGACGCCCAGC